TGGGCTTATTTTTCCTCCCCCTTCCCCCCCCCCCCGTATTCAACTTCTTATATAGAGGTTTTAAATCAAAGCAATGTTTTAAAGCCCATTACGAAATCCCAGAAAAACATATCTTGATAAAACAAGCAAAATCTCAGCTGTAACACTGCCAGGCAGAATAGGTGACTGCCCCCCCTGCTTCCCGTGTTGCGGGAACAATGATGCATCTCTACGACTGTTCTGTTCATCGCACAGAACTACAGACTCTGGCAGAGCAGCTGACAAATGTGAGTTTGCTAGTTTAACAAGCAAATCAATCTGACAGAATGAAGTCTTGTACGGTACTGGATACCGTTTCCAGTATTACGGCAGAATTTATTACTGCTAGAACGAAAGGATTAAAAGACATTAAAAGAGCATGACCATCTTCATCTTCCACTCTCTTTGCTCCTAGTGCTTTGGCAGCTCATGGAAAGAAGTCAGCAGCAGCGCCAGCGCTGAGCAGAAGTCTGCCCGACTCAGAAGGCGCTGCCCAATTTGGAACATTTCTTCTGCCCACATATATTCTGGAGATCCCCCCACACCTCAAACTGGAGGCATGACAAAGCGGCAAGTTGTGCAGTGTGCGTGTGTGTATATACATATATACACACACACACACACACACACATATATAAACTACTCAGGGGGAAGATGCTGACAGGATGCCCCTATTTGTCTATGAAGAGGAGTGAAAACATAAAAGTTGCTATTTCAGTGCAGTCCATGGCTTGAAATATGAAGACGGCATACAGAGCGCTAAAAATATTTTGCCCAAGTTTAAGTTGAGAGGGACTCAACTGGGGCAGCAAAGACTGTGAAAACATTAGTAAAACTGGAACGCTTCTTTCCACTCCCAAAACAAAGGCACACTCCAAACGCTGAGATCAGTTACAAATAAATCAGTTTACCGAATTAAAACTGTTTTTACTCCCTCTGTGGTATTTGTTACTATGGGCACAGGGAACTATAAAATACCATAGTTGTGGATGCAAAACACAGCATCCAATAACGTCCCCAAGCCAAGCGGAACAGAAAAGTAATGCATTAAAAATTTCCAGAATCGTTGATTCTCAGAAGTACAAAATTCAACTGAGTGTCTTTCATACACAGATACCGTCTCTAACAAACAGGTGCATTATGTCATCAGTGTGCAGTAAGAATAAATTGCAAAAACACCTGAAAACAACAGACTGAAAAGCATATGAATAGGCTATTTGAAAAAGTTGTTTACATAGTAACAAGGAAAAAAAAAGATATCCGGTGCCTAGCTGGAAATAAGTTACACTTATTAAAATCTTGTGGAACAAAACATTCCTACAATAGTTCTGCTTAACCGGAGGAGACAGGAAAATTGAATAAATTCAGAGACCTTAAGTGAACTAATATGTCCTCTCAGGATTTCAGTGCATGAAAGTTAGGCTCGTCACTTTGCAGCGGAGACTCTGCTTTGTATGCTAGAGAAAGCAGCAGTTAGGCAGTTTTATTACTTAATCAGAGGAGTAAATACCAGGAGTATCATGTTTAAAAGGTTCAGCCTCAATTATATTATACCGCATTAGAGAGAGTGTGTGAGTGTGTGAGTGTGTTTGGAGGCAAATGCCAACACAAGACACTTAACACATATCTGAAGTCACAAGATTGATGTTTCTCAACTTAAATGGCAGCATTCCCAACTCTTTAAAAGAATGGGACGCATATGAATTTTGTTCAGAAAGAACAACGTACAAGGGCAGAGCGAATTGTTATATTCTCATTAAGGAAACATCCACGAAGCTAGGAACTATACATACTTACTGCATACAACTCGCAGAATATTTTTCCTACCCCAAATATCATCATCTTATGACTGCTCTGACCGTCTTTCCAGAAAAGGCTCTCCTTGCAAGCCTCCAGCAGGTGTACAAACCCCAGTGGAAAAGGACTATGACATGAAGCTACACCGTTTCCCTGCTCCTCGGCTGCTGAGCGACTTAGAGGCCTTTTGTTTACTGAAATTTTCATCTTGGCAGTGTGAGCAAGAACTTTCTATGGTAAAAATCTGTGCATTAGAATTCCTTAGAGTTTTGTTAAGTTCAGTACTTCTTGCAAAAGTTGAGTTTAAGCAGATAGTAGATGCTCTTGTAAAGGCAGTACGTGCATTCACACAGCATCTCTTATTTAGGTCTTTCAAAGTGCTTGGCAAACACAGACTGTAACATTCACTTACAGTGATATCCACCAGAGAGAAACAGGCACTTGCTTCATCATTTTACCGCTCGTAACTATAGGAAATAATAGTCAGGTTTAAGGCAGACCAGGAACACAAAGCACAATGGTACCCAGAGACCCAAAGTCTTACTAAGGTGAGGCAGGCAGAGGGGAAGCTTGCACATCTCTTGCTCAAGTTATACATTCAAAACATAAAAAAGGAGGCTTTATATAATACCATAACTTTGTTCTCCTGCTTCCCAAGCAAGGGTAACATATCTGGTGGAGATGTACCTCATGAACATCTAAGCAAGCAAACGATTACTCTGGGCAATATTAATCTGATTCACCATCTGTTTCAGTAAGCTATGTATTTTTACCTGCCGAGACAGATGGCACTTTGACAAAGTCATTTAAAAATACGATACGAAAGGAACGGTGAAAGATGCTGAGGCAATCACCTGCTATAACGAATGGCACAAATCCAGCAGTAGCAGTCATGTGTATGAAATAATCAGGCCTCTGTGCAACTGCTGTAACTTCAGAAAAAATTATGCAGTTTATCACTTAAATATGCAGACAGGTTAGCTAATCCAAAAGAAAAATCAAGTGAAATATGCTTATAGGACAGAAAAGAAACAACCTGCCCATCACATCAAGCTTTTAAAATGAAAGTTTTTCTTTGTTTTTTAAAGTAAATATCTACGTCACACACACACACGTGATATTTTTCTTGCCATCAAGTTTCCTTATCATCTCAAAAAAACCAAAGATCATTAAAGTCTTTAAAACTTAACAAGAAAAACGTAAAGCAGAACACGTTCTCCTGTGACAACAAATGAGATATTTTTCCAGGTTTTACAAGACTTGTCTCAAGGCAGATTGACTTCAGTGTCAAAGCAGCATCAAATTCCACTGGAGCTGCTTAGCAAGTTTGGACAGTCTTCCACAGTTGCTCATGAAGACAAAAATTGGTGCAGAAGCCTAATCATCGAGGGAGACCCAACATGAAAGCATGGTGAGACAAATACATCTAGGGTATTTAACACCCAAAGAGAGAAAAGGTACAATAGTCTTGTGCAAACAACAGGAAATTCACACCTGTGTTTTAAGCAAAGAGCAGAAGCACCCGCTGTGAATGGACTGCATGCAACAGCACAGGAAGGAAAAAGAATATATTTGACTACAAAGTATACATCTTAAGCTTCCAGCATGAGTTGCAAAGACCTGAAAAGAGCTAGTCAACCACAAACAAATACTTCAGGTGAAATGGGCATTTTGGGGGATGAACAGCTTGCCTGCAGAAACCATTCTGAGAGCAGACAGAGAAAGGTTCAGATACCTATAGAAACCGCTATCTTCTGCGGGTTCCCTTCCTACGTTAATTAAAGCATAAGTCTGGAAGCTAAGGAGAGGCAATGTTCTCACACTTGGTGTTCCAGTAGGCAAAATGAAACAAAACAACGGGCGCAACAATCAAACATTAGAAACAGTATAAACCTGGAAATTAAGCCTATGTATAGATTTGTTGCAAATGAACAAATTGCTAACCACATCACACTTAGAAACCCTAAACATGCAAGTGAGCTTATTTCTGCAGATCATTGTACTGTGGAGTCTGACACTCAGCAATCACTTCCAAGAAGAACGAGGGGTAGCTGCAAAAATCAGTAAAGAAAAAAATAGCACAATAGCACTAAATCACCTCGCTTTTAATCAGTACAATCAATTTTTAAAATCTAGAATAAAAGGCACTTAACCAGTACCATTTGGTGTTGAATTTCTTTCCGGACGGTGCACATGTCTTGCATGTTTCTTCTGATACGCAAAGTACAACAGAGGCATGCTTTTCTGCACCTCTCAACTGCATGGGCTTGTTAGGGAGCTAGCAAGAGAGTCAAATAAATGCTTCTGCAAAAAGAGGTGTTCGCCAAGAAAGCTCTT